TGTCCGCCTGCCACGCTGACGCTGCACATTGGCCAATGGGCGTTGGATTGGTAGCTTTGCAGGCTTGGATCCGAGTCCTTGGTATTGCGGTTGCCAAAGAAATCCCAAGCAATGCCAAATGAACGCTGAGAATACATTTTCCCCTAATTGACTGCCTCTAATTGACTCTAAAATGTCTATAATTAGTTTTCGAACCAGTTTTGCTACAGCTTTAGAATGGTTCAACGCCCAGGATTGACAAACACTTTTATTGAGCCATAAAATTATATTTTTTATAAATCTCTTAATTTGAAAATTATTGCTAAATTTGTATTGAATGTTAAATTTGTCTCCATAAAAAATGTTGGTTTCGATTTATTGCAATTTAGGTTGATTTCATTTCTTTTTCTTATTCGTAAATTAAAAAGTAATAAAAAAACTATTTTTATAAATCATTTCTTTGATTTAAAAAAAATGGCATTAAAAAAATGTTTGGTAATGGTACGTACAATGAACCACATGTAACATTTAAACCACGAAACGAAATGCAAAAATTTTCAGAAAATTTTGTAGAAAGCTTAAATTACATTAGATAGCTCATGATTGTGGGGACAAAATAAAATTTTACCGAAACTGAACCCAATGTGCTTTGACTGCATTTTAGTTTCTCCTTTTCTCTGGCTTTTTATCGCGGATACCGCGCTGCCTTCTTGTTTGTTTCGTGAGGTAATTAATTTTAGCGTTTTTTTTTGTTTTCTGTATTTTTGGAGGCCCGTTGCCGTTGCTGCAAATTTATGTATTTATTAGCCCCTATGCATAGGCGGGGGCTTTAAATTTTAATGGTTTTTTAATTAGGCGGCGCCGTTTGATGATCCGAACCCCCTTTCTCAAGCCTCCCCTGCTACACACCCCTTTCTTTCTCATTAGCAGCCCATTGCCAGCAAACAACTAAATACTAAGCTAAGCCACAGTGGAACATCTAGAAATTAATTTGGAAAATGCCGTAAAATTAAAAGCAAATCTTTATCCATTTTCAATTTTTAATTCAAATATTCAGCTGAAAAGTCTAATAAACAACATTAAGTATTTAATTCCTTGTACTTGAACATTAATCTACTTAAAATATCTATAATCTATAAATCCTCGGTCCTATGTAATGCTAAAAAAAGAAAAGAACCCAGAATTCTATCTTACAAATATTTTCCTACTTCTTTTTATAAAATTTATAATTGATATATTTAAATATTCATTTTAATTAGTGTTATGTAATTAAGTGGTTAAATCATTTAGTTTTGTAGCTTTGATTTGCATAAATCAGCGCGAGTGTAAACACTCGATTACGAATTACAACCACTACGACTGGAAACTACGAACTACAACTGGAACTACGTCCGCAGTTTTACAACTTTACAACCGCATGTGTAGTTTTTTATTGCAACCCATTTAGGCGACGTCGCTGCTTCCGTTTGCTGCCTCTTTTTCCTTCTTTTCCTCTTCCTCGCCGCTTCCTCTTTGGGCCGTTTTACGAGGTGCCTGCTAGTATTTTTTGGTAGTCACTGTACCACATTGCGGCGCAACAACAACAAAACAACAAAAACACCAGCCAAGGGCCAACGACACCGACATTTTCTGCACTCCACACACATACATACATGTGCGAAACTCTTTCTCTCTCGCACACAAGCAAGCGTTTGCGGGAGCGAGCGAGACAGTCGTGCGCCTTCTTTTCCATTCATAAGCGACTGCGTTTCGTCGTTGACGTTGTTGTTGTTGTTCTTCCCCTGCTGGCGCTTGGCAAAAAATAAAAATATGTAAAAAAATTATTTGGCGGTCTCCATCTGTGAGAAAAAATTTCTGTTATTTTATGTGTGCTCGAAGTAGTTGTTGCTCTTTTCCTTTTTGTTTTGTTTTTGTTGGGACTGCAGCCGAGTTGCCGCCCTTATCACACAAACATAGACACACACACATGCATATGAACCGGACGGACAGCCTCCGGATTTTCTACTCCTTACCGTTTATACGTAGGCCATGTAAATCGTGATTTATTAATGCCCAAAACAAACAAAATACTTTTATGAGCGGTTACTTGGTGTTTTTTTTAATACCACATTCACCGGATCGCAGTTAAGGGCAAATGCAAAAGATTCACTTTTGATTTAAAAGGAGTTGGAGTGAGAAATACATTTTTATTTAGTGTTCCCGTAATAAAACGTAAGGACCCTTTTAGAGAATAAATATTCTCTTTAAACTCTAATATTGGTACTTCGGAAACACTTAAAGTGCTTTTTAATCTAATAATTAAATTATTTGGTACCATAATTTATCTAAATATAGTTGGATTAACTAAATGTTTCTTGCGGCTCTTGTTTATGGCCTCTTGGTACCCCTTTTATGGCAATGTTTTATGGTTCCTTAATGAAGAAAATATTTTTGCTTCGCATAAACGCATTCCTCCCACGAATCTTCCTTTCCTCCTCGTCTTTCTCCACCACCCCCTTTCTAGTCGCCCACTCTCCTCCCTCCTCCTGTTTGTTATCGCAGACATGCGCTCTGTTTACGCTCTCACGACTCCGTCTCTTTCTGTCTGGCTCTGGCCGCCGCCTAACTGCGCCTGCACTTTGTTGTTGTTCTTGTTCCTCGGCTTTTCGTCCTGGTCCTGTCTGCGTGTTTTTATACGCACTGCGCTTTAGCACGTCTATCCGCAAAACAAAAAAAGTGGTCGGTCGATGGGGGAGGGGGCGAGAGAGCGAGCGAGAAAGGGCGAAGCATGCAGACGCCGACGCTGTTCGCCTCTCGCTTGCACTCGCGCCGGTCCGTTATTAGATTTCAGTTTGTTTTCGTCCCCATTCGCATTCGTTTTCACACATTGCGCTTCGCGTCATTTTTCGGGGTCAACGTCATCTCGAGGGTTGCCGGCGCTCTGCTTCTGCTTCAGCCGGCGTCGCTGCACGCCTTGCGTTTTTTCCTTTTTTGTTTTTCGTTTTTGTTGTTTGTGCTTGTCTCGTATTTTGTGTTTTATCTCTTTCGCGTGTGCAAGCGCTCTCCCGGCTGTGTTGTGCTCTCTCATTTGCTGCTGAAGCACATTTTTAACGACGGGCCTCCTTGTGTGTGTCAGTTCTTGTGTGTGTGGGTTGATTTGTTGTCTTGACCAAAATGAATTTTTGGCCAAATATGCGAATCGTAAGCAAAATAAATCAGTCTATAAAACCAATATTTATTCATAATTATGATGCTTTGCTGTTATAAATGCAATTATAAATTATTTAACTATTTTGTAACTTGGAAAACTTGTGCACATTTTAAAATTTGTGATGTAAGATTTAAATTAGTTTATAAAAAACTTATGAGGACCATTAGGATTATTCTCAGTTTTGTGCAGCTTGTATTAAATTAATTTCGATTCCCAAACTTCATAAATAAGTATTTAATATTGGATATTTTTATCCAATTTCGACTCTAGAAAAATAAAATCCTTTGAACAAATTTAATTTCGTAACTATTATTTAAAATTAAAGAATTCAAAAATAAAAAAATTTACGATTTTAGCCATTTAAATGCGGAAACCCAAAATACACCATCTAATTTATTTGTTTATTTTAGCTTTAGTTCAGCAGTTTTCCATTTTTTTCTGCATTTCGCGTGCCGCACACAACACCCCACGTGACTTTTGGAGTGTGAGGGTGAGCGGGAGAGGGGTGTAGCGGTAGAGCGAGAGAGACGCGGTCTGTCTGGCCTCGTTTTCTGGGGCGGAAGGAGAAGGGGCGGTGGGCGGGAAGCGCACTCAAGAGGGGCGTGACGGCAGCTTTTTGATGCTTGAACTGCGCTTGTTTTTCTTGCCTTTGTTGTTGTTTCTGGCGCAGACTGTTTTCAATACCCATTAAGTTGTAAATCAAGAATGTATTCCTATTAATTCCGTTTAAGTTATGAACTTTAAAAGATTATTAACATTGACAAATGTTTGCATATAAATTAAATATTTTAAAAATATTTATACATAGTACTAGCTTTCGAAAAATGAACAGTTTAGCTACATATCTAGCAATAATAATTTATTTATATTTTCTGTTCTGTCTTTGTAGCAAAAGGTATTCAAAAGTCGAAACAGTTCAACAAATTTTGTTCCCCATTTCGGTTACGTTGAATTTTGTTTATTATTTTTCGGTTGCACTTTATATATTTTATATAGATACTTTTGTTGTTGTCGCTCTACGAAAAAAGGCGTGGTTCTTGAGTGCCAAACTATATCTTACTATCTTTTTTTTTTTTGGGTGTTGCGGCTGTTAGAAAATGTTTTTATTGTTTGATGGAGTTTTTCCTTATATTGTTTACATATTATATATTATTTTCCCGCTTGGCTGGGCGATTTTGTTGTTGTGCTGTTTATGATTTGGCGCGAAAGTTGAACGTTTTAAGGCTGTTGGTCTCTTTGTTTCTGGGTGGGGCCTAATGGATATTTTTGCAAGAATTGTGAGAGTCAAGCATAAAATTATGGATTTTCAGGTGGATTAAAGTTGCACGAACGCTATTTTTTCTGGGTTTTAAGTGATTCTATGGAATTTGTTAATTGGATAATGGTTGCGCTAGACTTACATAGCTGTTAATGGGTTGACTGTACTTTTTTAAATGGGAAATTTTGTTGGAAGGAGGTGAAGTTAAACTAGTTTTTAACGTTTTTCAGGTTATATAAAATATATTTACTTATTTTATAATTAAACAATATTAACATTTCAAAATAATTATACATTTTCGAATACTTATTATCTTAATTACAATTCTTTCTTAAGGGTTATTATCAATGCTTACAAAAAAGGATACTTGTCTTTATTAGCTCTATATTAGTAGTACTTATAATCAGATCATATAATTTACATGTTTCTGATCACAAAACATACATATTTCTCCCACTTTTTATTTTCGTAATACAATAATATTGTTACTCAACACAATTGTAACTCAATTTAGATTCGAGTAAACGAAATTCCTTTCTCATCACCCGCCTTTCTCTATTGCTCTCATTTCAGATCGGCGACGACTAAATGCATCATTGAGATCACGTGAAATGATCATCGAGTGCCGCGAAGGTGTGAAAGTAAAAATCATGTGAAAAATGTGAGAAATAGTGAGGAATGCTACGTGACAGCAACCACAAATACTTGCAAACAAATGATCAAGAGAGCAACAGAAACAACAACAACCATACAAAACGACAACAACAACAACGAGAAAATCAAGAAAAATGATAACCTAAATAAATCAAATTGCTAGTCAGAAAAAACAACAAAACAACAGAAACCAGGGAACGAAGCCAGAGAATGAGAGAGGGAAATTAAGTTATAGAAGTGATCCGAATTCCGATCCCGAGTGCATTTTCTCCCCCTGTCTCTACCTCTCTGCTCCACGGTTTTCCCCGAACCCGAATTTACAATTTTTCGGGTTTCCTTCTCCTACCGAAGAAAGCTTTCGCCAAAAGCTGGAAAGAAAGTGCAAAGGCAGCAGTAAAGAAAATATTATCAAAACGTGTTTGAAATTTATAACAATAAAGAAAAGCGAGAGAAGGAGGCGTATATTGTCTCTGTCTTTCATTATTCTCGCCTGAGGTAAGTTACATTTCTATTCTTCTTCTTCTTTGGAGAATTCAATTACAGTAAACTAGCCTAAGATCGACCTATTAGAGAAGAATGTTTGTTGTAGGGTTTGTAATAATTTTATTTACCTTTGTAATAATAATATTTTGACTTAATGTTCTCAAAGAATTCAAATTGGGTTTTCTAGGAATGTAATATCAAACATTTTAAGAGTAAAAAAAAAATACACTTGCATTTAAGATTTGGGAAAGTTCCACTGTATCTTCGTTCGTCCACAGCTATCTCTTTCGTTGTGCTTAATTTGTGTCACATTCCAATGAGGTTGAACAAGAAGGGGACGATTTGGAATTTTTCCTAAGAAATGTATGCTGATTTGATTGTCAGTGAGAAAATTTGTAAGCCAGAAGCGTGTGTGCTTCGCTTCTCTGGCCCAAAGATAGAGAAAAAAGGGGAGCAGTTCCCCCGATTCCGGATATATCATCCCCAGCTCTAATATTTCACTTTGGTATTTCCGCATGGCCCAGTTCCAAATAACTCGCTAACAATAAATATTGGGTAAATTCCGGATGGAGCAAAAAATAAAACGGAGACCGTCCAAAGAGGGGAAAATCGTGTGGAAAAAGAGGAAGGTGGGTGGCAGAAGGTGGTGTTAAATGGCCTCTGATTCTAAATAATGTGTAACAAATGGCGCGTCTGTCGCAACAACAACTGCAATAATAATAACTTGGCAGCGAGCGACAGATCCAGCAAAAACAACTGCATCAGTGGAAAATAATCGGAAAGCAGGAGAAAGAGCTAGAAAAAAGGTGCACTTGCAGTCTGCGAGACAAATAATACCCTTGATCTTGGTAAAAAATAAATATATGTACATATTATACATCAATTTTGATTGGACAGTCCGATTTGAAGAAACTTTAATGAGTTTGATAGGTATTGATGAGTAGAACAAAGTAGCTATAAAAAAATTCTTTCTATCTTTTATTGTTTTCGAGAACATCAGTAAAAAATATATTTATTTATATTTTTGAATAAAAAATAGTTTAAAATTCCCTTTCCGAATTTTAAACCAACCAAAAATTTTGTAATTGCAAAAGTAGTATGACTTTTTGAGGTTCCTAGCGAAATGTGCTAAGCAGGGTAGAATCTCTACGAGACGGGATCGAACTTTAGACCAGAACCCGGACCCCAAGGGGTGGCGGATGGAAAGTAGCGGAGGCAACCGACCGCATCAGCAGAAGTAGAAGTAGAAGTAGCAGCAGTCGCTCAATTGCACACTCACCGTCTGGGCATTTTCACAGTTTTGGAGCAGACACACACTCAGTAGTGCACAAGGGAACCACTCTTGAGACGACGGTCTTGACGCCTTGAAGAGTGAGCGGGGTGGGGGCTGGTGGGGCGATCTATTAGTGTGTGGCACCATGTGGCATGCGGTATGCCATTGCAATTGCACAAACATTTCTATATTGCTCTAATGTATCTCTCCACGCCTCATGGTTGACGCCGTCTCATTGTATTTGTGGTTTTTTTTTTTTGTTTTGCGGTCGAATCGAGTTGGGCCGGAAATAGTTTCAATTGGAAAGGCAACCTGGCCGAAAGATCTGCTGCTCTGGTCACTGATAAAGCCATAAGTGGCCTCCATTCATGCGAATGCGACTGGAAATTTACAATGAACTCATTTGTGTTAAATCGAATGGAATAAAAAATATGCAGAAAATGTATTTTTAAAGTACTTTAAGGGATTTAAATATACATAGATATGTTTTAATATATCTGAACAATCGAAAACATTGCAGAAGATCACTATTCTTCCTTAATAGATAGTTAAATTATTCTTTATTACACAAAGAGTAAGCCAAAAACATTAAGTTTAAATGACAATTCAAGAGTTGCACCCCAACTATAAGTCCAAATAAAATATTTACGATTTTATGTTTGGCCTTAAAGAAAATCGCTTAGCTTTCCCTGCATAAAAAAAGCGTTCCGTTTCTACCTTTGTGAATATGAGAAAATCACTCTCAGGAGCCTCACGCCTTTGGGTATCCGTTTTATTATCAGTTTACGTCTGGAGTTTGCCGCCTTCTCCATTCAGTCTGGAATTATGTGTGGCAACTGATATTTTCCCAGGCTCCCTAAGGAAGTCTTTAATAAGCTAAGGAGGCAACCAGAATCTCCTCCTCCGACCCATTCAGATCCATTCGCATTCGCACTGTTGCAGTTTGTTTTTTCTTATGTTCAGTTTCTTCCTTGGGTTCGGTTTGTTTTGCTTTGTTTTGGGACTTTAAATGGCCAACTGGTTGCGGTGAGCACGTGTTGCCTGTCAGTCATCCATCCAGCCCGTGTATTCAGTCAGTCAGTCAGTCACCCAGACGTTGATTGAGATAGCATACTGGTTCGGTGAGGAGAGCGCGAACAAGGGTCTCTATGAGGGGGCGTCTGAGGGTCTCGGAAGAATCTCAGAGTTCCTCGTTTTGGGGCGTGCCCCTCCACAGACGCGCACATTCTGTCAGTTGCTCAATTAGACGCACTTCCGCTGCATTTCCCTTCTTTTCCCAGTCGCTTTATTTCTATATTTATTTCCGTTTTGTGCGTGTGATTGATGGCCGACTGCTGGGCAATGATGTAACCAGAAATTAAAACGGAAATGAATATGAAAACGAGACGAAATGTGGCGGTCGGCAATAATGTCGCGATTAAGATTGGGGCAATAAAAAAATTTATAATAATAAAAACAGTGTTGCGTGTTCTAAAATCTCTTCACAATATTAATTCAGTAGTTTAAAGTTTTAAAATTAGAAACCGGGAAACGAAGAGCCTTTAAAATATTATTTTTAGTAATTCTTTTTTGTATTAATAATTTTACATAAATAGACCAACAGCTTTTATGTGAAATAGGGTTTCTAGTGAGTGAAATAGTAATTGGTTAAAGTGAATTAGACAATAATCACTAAATTATGTTAGGGGATTTATTTTCTTGAAATGAAGAAAACTGTAAAACTTTTTTCGGTGTCGATTTGTTTTGTGTACCCACTGTTTTCCTTTTATGCGCTTATGTCCGGAGACAGTTAACATGCCGTACCATTTTCACTTCCCCTCGAAGCACTTTCCCTCGCCCTCCCTCAATTTTCTCTCTCATTTCCCCCTGTTGTTGTTGTATCCAATAAACTAGTAGCAACAGCTGCAGCCGCAGACGACAATCGAAATGCGAAGGGTGTAAAGTGGCGCTGCCACATTCCAATGTCTGTAGCTGTTTCTCTTCCTTTTTGTTGTCAAGAATGCCGGAGATGAAGATGAAGAAGCAAAAAACGAAGATGAAGTCGATGGAGCAGATGAAGCAGCCGCAGCAGCATTAATCGTGGCATCATCTCATCGACACTCTCCATGTAAAATCACGTTTCGAGTTATGTGAACGGCGCGTGAATGAGTCGAAGTCCAGAGTTCGAATCGCGTTGAAAAGAGACGGCCATCTCGTAGAAGAAAGAGACGGGTAGAGCGGGCGTCTGCGATTGCGATCGAGATGAAAATGCAGACTTAATGTGTTGTTGCGAGAGAAGAAGAGAGAATTTTCTCGATTTGTCCCGGAATGTGAGCTTTCGTTACCAGAATTAACTCCATTCGCCTGGAATTTGAGTTTCTTTATTGCAGAAGGTTTATTTTATTTGTTTATTTATCAGGCATGCAATTTTACGGTTTCTAGAATTAATTGCCTCCCGAGTTAGAAGTTTTTTAAGTTTATCCTTAAGTTCAATTTTAAAGAATACAGATTCAAAGTTTATAAATTATTATCCATTTCGATACTAAGTTATTTATTAAACCACAGTGTTAGACAGTAAGGTTAATCAATATTATTTTAAAAACCACGAGGGATCATTGAGAATCATTTGATTGACGTCTAATCACCTGCGATTAAAAACTCATTTGAAGGATATGGCTTTCTGGGCAATAAACACAGCAAGCATTGAATAATTCGAACCCCTTTAAGAGTTATAAATGACAGATAATGCCATAAATAAGCGTACTCCATCTGTCATTTAATTTATTTACTTTTTGTATACATAAATGATCGGCGGCAACCCCTTCAATGACAATTTGTTGCCGCCTTTTGCTGTCCCAACTCTTTTTCATTAAAACCGAGTTTAATGGCCATCAATTAATTTACAACGAGCACACAAAAGACGGGAAAGAGACGGCACGAGTGTCAGACTTTATGTGTGTCATTAGGGTGCATTTTGAGTTATGCACCTAAAAATAAAAGAGCACAGAAAAGTACAGAAACAGAGAGACTTATGGGTATAAAACATTTCCGCATTCCACAATGGGGAGTCAGCAAAACAAAAAAAAAACAAAAAAAAGAGACGGGCGCATGCGCAACGGTTGCTAAGACAGAGACGGGTAGAGGGGGTTAGAAAGAGAGGGAGGGAGGAAAAGACCTCGACCCACACTCGTGTGGCGCCCATAAAAACGTCATCGTTGCACATAAAACCCGACGGCCAACAATGCAGCTTGCCATTTGGCCGCCGCCGTAATAGTTTTTTAATTGCTCATAAAAGTCGTCAAAGTTCCCCGGGCTTCTCACCCCTTCTCGCCCCTCCTCCACCCAAATATACATCAATATATATACCACAAACATAACCGGTACAAGGTAAAGTCTCTTGTCCGTTTGGGCCCATTAATCACTTGGAGTGGAGGCTGCGGAAAATAACGCCACCAGGTAAAGCCAGAAAACCGTTAAGCGTATGCAACAAGATCGCCGCCGACTGTCTGCCTTTTCAGATCTTAACATATGCGCATATTCTCCAAGTCTCTCGTCTTTTATACATACATACATGCGAGTGCCGATTGTCCAGAGGAAGCGGAGAAACGATCTTGCTATTGACATTGACAATGTCATTGGGAGGCTGTGGGAGGGAGCGGCAGTGGGGCAGGGAAAAAGAGTAAAACCTCTAAAGTATTTTGATTTTCAAACCTTTACTTTAATCCATTATTGTTTTGGTACCAAAAAAAAAAAATTAATT